TACCAAACAAGGCTATTGGCAATCACTGTTGATCTAATGCAGGAAACATCTTTCAGTCAACAGAGCGTGCGTGTGACATATTTAGTAGCAGGATGTGCACTGAAAAATAGGGCTCCCCGAAAGCAAATGGGTAATTCGAACACTGTCTGTACCAGTGACTCACCTGCGATGTTGCCCGCCCCCCCAGTAGGAACCACCACCTCCAGTTCAGGCAGATCTCCCCCCGCCTGCTTCACCCCGCTGAGCTGCAGGTAGGCGTAGATAAAGTGAGCGAGCTGCACCATGACTCTGGACCAGTTCACAGAGTTCAGGCTCATGAGGCCGTGAGCTCGGACCAAGTCCTGGTCGGCAAAAAGGCGACGCAGAGGCTGGTCGATGTCGTCTGAGCTGCCGTCAGCTGCAGGGAAAAAAACACAGGTTCAAGATTCAAGGCTCTTATTGTCATGTGTACAGAGATACAGTGTAGATATGTCCATGAAAATCTGAGGTCACAGACTCCTCCTACAGTGCAACACAATGAAACTGAATTGTTAAAGTAGTGCAAGTAAATACAAATAAAATAGAATAGAAATAGTGCAAGGGGAGTCTAATTGGAATATGATATATTAGATAAGTAATTTGTAAGTTGCAAACAGATGAATGTTATTGATGTTCTTTTCTTTCAAAAGTCCAGGTGTTTAAGGCGCATTTCCACGACAGCGCGGTTTAAGCACGGCCCGTTTTTTGTTGCGTTTCCACTTGGCGTAGTTCCGGCTAGCGGGTACTTTTTCACAGTTTTCTGGGTCTCCAAAATCGAGGTTCTTTCCGGGTCAACAACCGGGCTGAGTATGCTAAACTAGTGACGGCAAGGGGGCTACAACTACAACAAGATCAACATATTTGACCGTGATTTAATTGTAATACACGTTTCAAAATGATGCCGAAGTAACAACATACTGATACCGGTTAGTAAAAACCATGAATTAATGCTTAGACAAGTCTGCAGACAGACGGCAGGCGAAAAACCTTTTAAAATGTGTGTTTTCTGAATGGAGCTTGGCTAAGCTAACGCAGTATATGCTCCGACCGTCCACACACACAACGGCCTACAGACATAAATAAACCAGCAACTGTATTCTCCATGACACAGACAGTCTGTGGTTTGGACTTGTTTAACTTTTGTCTAGTTTCTGAACAGATATGAGGAGCTGTGAGCTCTGAGGGCTAACAGCTAACGGCTGTGTTGGTTCTGTGGTTCGCATTGAAGATGACGTCACGGCTCCGCCTACAATGCGTTGCTATAGTTACTGCCTCAGTTCCTAAACTGTAATGGAAACGCAGCATAAAGTGAGCCTGGCCTACCAAGACCTAACTATACCGTACTAAGCCGTGCAAGGCCCTGAAGTGGAAATGTGCCATAACAGTCTTATGGCCTGTGGAATGAAACTGTCCCTTCAACCATTTTAATGTAAATACTGCTATATTTTACTATACTAAGTTATTCTAGTTTTCCTAAAATAGTTTTCTATCTGTGTTTTTAACTTTTGTTTTTATTTTTATGTATGCACCACAACACCAAGTCAAATTCCTCGTATGTGTTAAACGACCTGGTGATAAACCTGTTTCTGATTCTGATGTTTGCAGCTCTGTTGAAATGGAAAAGGTTTTCAATGTTTTGGTTTAATTTGACGACTTGTGTGATTCACTGTGTCACTTTTTAAAGACGTGACCAGTGTAGAAGGAATGAAAACCAATGTCCCTTTTGTGACCACCTTTTTACTATTTTCTAGTCGCTCCCACAGAGGGACATATAGATACAGAAACAAATGATATAACCGATTCTTTAAATTTAAAAAAGGAAACAGCATAGGGAGTCCCTCGCTGAAGCTTGGTAACAATCGTCATCTTTTTTAACTTAATTGACATTGAGTCCTCTCCTAATCATCTTCCAATACATCAAGGTGTGCATATATGTACAATCATATTTTAGGTGAAGGATATAACCAGATCAGCAGCTCTGAGATCAGTATGTCATGTAGGAAGATATCGCACTTATTGTACGTCACTTTGGATAAAAGCGTCAGCTAAATGCAATGTAATTTAAGCATAATAAAAATGCCACCACACCCCTTTACCGGCAGTGGCTCAGTCAGTATGGGCTTGGACTGTGAGCCGCAGGGTCGCCGGTTCAAGTCCCTGACCAGACCTAAAATATGGAGTGTGGACTGCTACTTGGAGAGGTCCCAGTTCACCTCCTGCCCTGCCGTGGTGCCCTTGAGCAAGGCACCGGACACCCCCCTTCCCCATTGCTCCCCGGGCGCTGTACAATAGCTGCCCACTGTTCCTAGTGCTAGACTCCTGGTACTAGGATGGGTTAAAAGCAGAGAACACATGTCACTGTGTGCTGTGTGCTCTGCATGTATGACCATTAAAGAGGGTTTCATCCCTCCCAATATTTATTTATATTTTATTTATTTACCTGCAAACACGTGCACGTTGTCCTCCAGGCAGGTGATCATGTGTTTTTCCTGGACTGGAGTGATGCGTCCTCGAGGAAAAACCACCAGAACGTCCAGTCCTCTGAGACCCTTCGCACTTTGGATGGCCGACCCCCCCGTGTCTCCTGATGTTCCTGGAGAGGGAAACCATCAGCTGGTTTTAGGGTGATATGGTTAAAATCACTCTAGTCCAGGGGTGCCCATTACGTCAGACTACCACACGCCACACTCGATCGCAAAGGTAGTGTGGGCATGGCATTGAAAAAATATATATATAAAACATTTTTTTTTTTTTAAAGTTAGCCTATCATCCATCCTTACTATGGCATTTGCCACTTGATTGACGTACAGGTAAGCCGGTCTTGAGTTGTCTTGTGCCATACAGGTTCATGCAGTTATGAGGGGGCCCCACAGTTTATCCGCCACTTACTCCACTAGCACCCCCCCCCCCCTCGCGCTCGCGACACAGATTGGGCAGGGGCGGACCTGAAGGTAGATCTTTTGGGCTTGGTCATTTTAAAAGTAGCTCCCAAGCTGAAAAAGTGTGGGGACCCCTGCTCTAGTCCTGCTACGTTGATCATTACCTCTGCAACTGTAAGACATTGCTGTTTTCTTCTCTAACATAAAAAATGAG